GTTACTCTCAGTTCCAATCAATTACTGTTTATCATTGTATAAAAAAGTATGTTCAGATCGTTAATTTAATTAATAACTTTGATATTGTTCAAGTTGTATGCAGCCAGTTGAGAAGAATGCACGAAATAATAAAAATAAAAACATGAGCTCAGATTATCCTGGTGCATTTGTCATCCTTGCTTTATTCAAATTGACTAGTTGCATAACAGACTGGACTAGTATGCTTAGCGCCAATATTTAACCGCTTTTACTTGGTGAATCAAGTTATACGATTCAGCATATATATTTTTAGTCAAATTAAGAAGTTTCAATTATTGGTTTTTGTAGGGATTTAGTTTGATTGGATAGAGAATTTCATCATGAGCTGACATCAGTTAGAGAAACACTGGAAAACTATATAGGGAGTACTGGACAGCTGTTTTGTCAGCCTAGTTTGGGACTCTTCATCAGTACGCACCCACATCCAAGGGGTTCAAGCCCAAGACCTACTGGTTACAAGGCGAGCTCGCAGACCATTCATTAAGCCACTGGGACCAGATCCAATGGCCAATCCATGAATTGTAACTTCTGCCAATCTATGACATAGCATGACCACTTCACAATGTCTTCAGCTTCGATTAGTTACTGCCTCAGCTTTAATCTGCTGTACCGCACAGGTCACGGCTTCTCACTACAACCCCAGGTAACTGCCTGAATAGAGCCAGTCGCTAGTGAGCATGAGATCACTTTCCAAGTATTGGTTTTGTAGCGAATTTTATTTGATTGGTTGGAGGATTTCATCATGAGCTGACCTGGTGGCTGCGTACTGACGAAGACTCCCAAACTAGGATGAAACAGACGTCCAGTACTCTCAGGTGGTTTTCCAATGTTTCTCTAACCGATGTCAGCTCATGGTAAAATCCTCCATCCAGTTAAATTAAGAAGTCAGTCATTAGAATCATGCCTAAAATGACAGAAACAGTTGTTACTTGTGAAAGATAATAATTACAGCAAGCATTTGAGAAATTTGTGAGAGAAACTAAACATTTCTGAAGTGGCTAAATCAAAATCTGATTAAAACCATATCCAGGAATAGCAAAGATTAAAGTTTTTGCATTTATTCGCCAAATCACTGACTTATGGCTTCATTTGTTTAAGTTAAATTGTACTTTCTATTGTTGCCTAAAACTTTAACACCACTGCTCTAACTATCTGCATCCTTTTACTTGATTCAAATAACATTGTGCCATGGACTGATACTGTGTTTCGTCCTGAACCCCTCATTTTTATTTAATTCTACTGTCTTAGAAGTGTAACAAAAGTCCCAGCCATCTGAGATTAGAGGGCTATACAATCTGATTGACTAAACCTTCTTTCCTAAAGCAACACTAAACTTAACCTCGTTGTTAGTGATAGGGACTAGAATTTAAGATACTATAGCACATGATTCTAGATTTAATGGATCGAAAACTTGTACCAGTTAGATTCAACTGTTTGAGACTACCGTATGATAGATCGTGCTTCTGTTATTCTACTTGATAACTCACTGTACCTACCCTCAGAGACATTTGAATTCAATCCACTAGGTCCTATTGCTTTCCCTCTTTTTAGATTAAAACTTCAGCCATGGTTGCTTTAGGGACGTCTATAATTCATTTATTCAGTTTTCAGATGCCTGGTGGTTTCGGTATAGTAGTAGTGGAAAGTTTCTTGTGGGGTTTCACCATCATTCCTTTTCAGAAGTCAATAGAGTTCCATCCACTGGGTATGATGGAATCAGGAAGATGCATTCAGGTTATTCCTTTTTGTTTCAACTTCTCAAGAGTTATTACAATGATATAACAATGACTAGGAGAGACGATGGAAAGATTCAACGAACTATTTTTCGTAAACAGACATGGAGTGGACAATATCTGCTTTTCACCAGCTTTGTTTCTATCCAGTATAAACCTTCCCTAGTGAGTGAAATGTTTGTTCTCATTGCCTCGCAAAATATGTATGACAGACAGATTGATGGATGAGCTTTGACATATACATTCAGTTTTATTAGCTAACAGTTATTCAGAAAATTATATCAATTGTCACAGTAAGGATAGAACACATCTGGAAGAGATGACAGCTTTTGTACCAAAGGAAGCTATCTTTATTAACCAACCATTCAAGGGTGACGAGATTATGCAGTTGACAGCTCAAAAACATTTCGGTAAGCCGTCAAATTCACATTCTTCGCCGCATCCCTTTCCTTCACACCTCGAACATTTTCCATCCCCGTACCTACGATTAAAAGATGAAATTCTGTGGACTCCACTTCAAACTGTATCTACAAGTTCATCTAAAACAATTAATCTGAGCATAAACCCAGAATAATCCATTACAAAGCACTTATTAATACCAGGTCACAAAATCAATATTGATGACTGTTTCACAATTATTTCACATAACTCTAATTCAAGGTTGGTTATTGAAGGCGATGGAAGCACTTTGGATTGATGATCACATACATCTTAAACTATGTGTACAGTCAAAACAATAGACTTAAGCCTTCGCCTACTATGAACTGACTACTTGACCCATTTAAATATGACTGATCATTTGTATGCACTTTTGTTTTATATAACTCAGTAATTGTCAGGCACTTTATTTTATCACTACTATTCGTGTTAATTGTAAAGCGATTGCAAAAAACTACGAAATGATACCATCATTTCGCGAAATTTATCTTCTAAATGCTTTATTCAAAAAGTAATTAACACAGCAGAATTGAGGGAATTCATCACATTTCGGTAGAACTCTTTTAGCTTAACACTTTACATACACTGATAAGTATATGTTACGATCGAAACTGACTCGTTTTGGTGCGAGCTTGGCCGAGCGATCTCTGAGTCTTACTGTATAGCTTAGAAAACTTCCCTGAGACATATGAGGTCACAGAATGTTCCACAAAGAAGAAATATATGGTTATTCTCCAATAAATATGTGTTTCTCAACAGTGCCACTAGGCAGTTATACCGCCCAGTCTAAGAACATAACAAGCGCTTGGAAAGGAGTAAAATATTTCCAAAAAGGTGGCATCAGAAATTCTGTCCACAAGGCTCACACACCAATGTCTCCCGCAGACAGTCTAAGACCATAATAACCTTAATTCACTCAAATAAAGCCACACTGTACGGCACATGACCAATGTACACACAATCACAAAAAGGAATAATAAAATTAGAGATTAAACAGGGACAAGGACAAGTAATAAGGATCAAATCAGCATGTAGTGTAGAAATGTTAGGTGAGACGGAAAATTTATTGATAAACACCTATTCACTCTATCCTAATTGTAACTTCAAAAGAGAACATGGAGTTAATGATATCCTTCAATTCTTAGACAGTTCTTTGGTGAAAAGAATTGATAACACCTAATAATTAGAGATTATTAAGATCGGAAAAACAAGATAAAACCTTCATTATTCTGAAATCATTGTGGAAATCTACCGTAATAAATACAAGAAACAAGGTTAAGATTTCTGATATTAATATCAGGTCAGTTAGTCAATGTATATGAGTGAAGAACTTGGCATGCGTATAGTGAAAAGCACTTCCAATACTACCAGGCTACTGAACATGTTTATTAACAACTGCCTTCTGTCTATACTGGAGACCAGTTGACCGACTAGAAAGCATAAGCAACATAGAACACTGGTACGCAAGTTACCATACAATAACCTATTGTCCAACTAGCGAATATACTGAAGAAAATATAAATGGATGGATCGGACATTTACTGAGGAGACCATTCAGTGCCACAAGGCACGGTACTCGGATCTCTCCTATTAATTTTGTATATCAGTGGGTTATCTCTGGTCATCGATTCCCCTATGATCCTATATGCAGATGACTTAAAAAAATTGGAGAGAGCTGAAGGTCAACAGTGATACTTTCACGTTGAAAGAGGACCTCAAACAAATTGTCAGAGTGGTCCAGAGAATGGATGCTCCCTATCAATGTAACAAAGTGTGCGATCATGTGCGTCGGACAAGAAAGCATCAGCTCCTAGGAACTAGAGGGAATAACACTTCCATCAGTTCAGACTCACTTGGACTTAGGTGTCATAGTTAACCACGACTTAAAAACTACAGCACACTTTCGCGTGGTGGCCGCACGTAGTTTCAGATCCTTATGAAAAATTCGCAGAGACTTTACTAAAAATCACCAGAGATATGTCCACCTCCTTATATACATCTCTGGTGAGGTCAAGACTAGAAAACTCTATCTAGGCAGCCAGTCCTTGTCTCAAAGGGGACTCACATATTCCAGAAAGGGTTCAAAGGAAGGCAACACGTATGGTTCACGGCATGACCAACCTATCATATGAGGAAAGGCTGGACAGTTTAAATCTCTTCTCCCTGTCACACCGTAGGCAGAGAGGAGATTTAATTACAATGTTTAAAATTTTAAATAATAACTACGGACCTGACCTATTCTCTCTTTTCCTTCCCGCCAGGTCGAAACGCCCTGGAAGACATAACAGGAGAGTTCAAATGCCAAGAAGTAATCATATTGCTGTTGAGTACTGGTTCTCACACCAACTCATAAACTCTGGGGACCGACTCGCAGAGGAAGTGGTGTCCGTAAACTAAACTGGTCCATTCAAGAAAGGTTTGGACAACCACAGAAATTTGCCAGAAAAATACTAACATGGGCTTCAAGTCCTCTATCCTCAACCAATAAATATGAATCTGTTTATGTCTAAGTGTACGGTTTCCCATTTTGACTCATAGTTACTTGAAAACAATCAATTCCTAGCGCGACATCTGATTCCCTATTTTGTTGAGAAACTCAGAGACCTCTCAATGGCATCCAGGTTAATTGTTTTGACTTGTCGACCATTATGTGAATTTATGTGAATTAGGTAAATTATAAATTCTGTTAGGCTGCATACGCAGGCATGAATAGACAGACATAATTAAACTTGATCCAGTAAATTAGTTATTTGAATACCTTTAATTTAAATGAGTATCAGTGACACCTACCTGAAACTATGCTGTCCCACAATGTGGCTTTTGACATTATTTTGCCAGTGTCACAGAGTGACTGCTATGACACTACTAAGCTTTGGCGCATTAAAACAAACTATTTTGGCAGCATCAAACATGTAAACTTCGATAGTAACCTGAAACTATCTACTTTCACATTTAAGTTATGGTCTTGCATTAGGGAATAATCTATCAGATAGATGATGCATAGATGATGTTGAAAAACATCAATATTTCATTAGATCTCAAAAGAGACGACGTTTTCACTCCAATGCTATGGTTTTAATAGGTGGTTGTACGTTGTTTGTGATGCTTAATACCAGTTATTGATATTCAGAGTTTCTGAGGTCGTCTGTCCCATACCATCGGTATCTTTCCCATAATGAACGAAAACAGACTAGAATCTAACATCCGTTCAGCAGGCCGCTATGGATCAGTGCGTTACTTGCTGGTGAGTGACAGCTCTCATCTTCAGTGGTTCCTTTTGACTTCTATCCAGCCACTCACCTTTCTCAGACTCCAAGGAATTTGAGTAAAACAACCAACTGAACTGGTCGAATGATACCACTGAGGGTAGTTGAGAGGAATACACAATTTAAAGATTTCTCATTTTTCCATCCGATGAAACAAACAGAGCGATACTAAAATACATCTTGAACTAAGTAGTCTCGCATCATGGTGTGCCGATTCCTGTCTAAATTTTAACATTGACAAATGTGGCTGGATTTGTATTGGCAACAGTAACCTTGATCTAACTCTTGAAATAAATGGGCGAAAACTAGCTAAGCTCAACTCAGTCGTAGATCTCGGTATTAGATACTCTAGTAACCTAACGTTCGCTGAACAGACTAATTATGCCAGACGTAAAACGCGAAGGCTGATAGGATGCATAACACGCAATTTCTTTTGTTGTGAAACTAGGGTTTTATTATACAAAGTATGTGTCCGACCTATCTTAGAATACTGCCCGTTTATTCTTAGCGGACTCAGACAAAATGACAAGCTTAAATTAGAGGGAGTGCAAAGGCAGTTTACCTCAAGAACTCTTGGTTTAGAAAGTGGTCTGGAATACCATGAGCGATGCGGAAGACTAAGATTAGAACCCCTCTGGAAAAGACGTCTTAAGCTAAACCTTATCTTTTACTACAAGCTAACTAATCTTCTCTTGCATTCCCCCGAGCCAATAACTAAACCTACCACTGTCATCAGTTACAATCTTAGAAATCATCACAGCCTAGCTGCTATGGAGCACTGTCAGACTTACGTGCGGTACAACTTCTTCTTAAATAAGTTTTCAGTCATTTGGAATAGACTACCAGCTAATGTGCGCGATGCAAACACACTTCCAGTGTTCATCTCCTCAGTCACCAGACTACTCAAAGATGACAATGCACTTTTGCGCCTGACTCTTACACCTTCTTTTTCACCATACATAGATATTTTGAGTTCTTTAAACGTGTAGTTACAACAAACTACAATTATAAATTTTAATATTATTGGAACTAGATGATTAACATTTCTACACAGGACAGTAATATTAGTTCACACATAATATAAAAGTTAGCGTAACGGGACTAGTTAGTTAATGAACAAAAATAAGCATAGTTACTAGACAGAATATATATGTGTATATTTATTAATCACTCCTTAAGGACTCCCGTTGCTTTCTTTTGCGTTGCTGTTGTTTGTCTTCTTTTTTCTCTCACCATTTCAGCTTCTATTTGACTTTTTGAATGAGAATGAAGTATGTGGATATTTGATCATTTACAATGACAAATGATCTGCAAACATTATTGGTCCCGTATCTTTCAGTTGCCTGGTTAATAACGAATTAACTTTCTCCACGACGCAACCTGGTTTACATTTGTGGAATATACTCTTATACCAATGGAAAAGTATCTATTTGTAATACAACGTCACGATTGTTGCTTATAACATAACTGATCGTATCTGTAAAATAGCTTCCTTATTACCCAATTCGGATATAAATCAAATCAAAAATAAGATTCGGATTTGTACACACCCAAGTTATATTGAGGAATTACTTCAAGCTTTATTTTTTCCCAAGTATTTTTAATCCATCCAAAACTTACTTGGGTTTTTTTGTTAATGCGAAGTTAATGTTCCTATATTTCATGATGTGCTCCATTGAATGACTTGTTATGTTGTGGAATAACTTCAAGCTTTATTTTTTCCCAAGTATTTTTAATCCATCCAAAACTTACTTGGGTTTTTTTGTTAATGCGAAGTTAATATTCCTATATTTCATGACGTGCTCCATTGAATGACTGGTTATCATATTGTTCCCACAGACCTAAGACAAAAACGCCAGCAACCATGTAACTTAATCATAAACCGAATTTATGAAATTTAAATAATGCTTACCCATGGCTGTATATTTGGTGTGTCCTACACAAGTAGGAAAAAATGTGTATTTTATTAAAACATTATTATTAATTATGATTGCTAATCGTATATGTAATTTATCATATTGATGATGCCTGTAAACTGGCGTCTCTCATGTACAAAATGAGAATATACTATTATTATTATTACTTAATGATAATAATTTATATTTCTTATAAACGGATAAGTTTACAAGAAATGCATGCAGTTTTACAGGCATGATCAGCTATTTCATAAATTACAATCCTGAAGTATCATAAATTAATACCTTTCAAAAAGTTTAAATTGTCCGATTATTGTACAACCCATCAGAACAAGTTCATAAAAATAATATATTGTTAATTTTTACAAATTTTCTCCTTTCTGACGAGAGTTACGGTCAACAAGTGAGCAGAATATAATTTGGTATGTCAGCCAAAACTCAGTAACAGTTAATGTCAAACTCTTCCTACGTCGGATCTCCCGGTGTCCCTGAAAGACTTTCAGAGTCCATTTGCAATATCCAACGCCAAAAACCAAAACACAGATTGGCAACTTAAAAATATTTCATTCTTGCTCCAATAGGTAACCCACTGTAACGATATTACACCCAAGGTCAAAGAATAAATATTATGAAAATAAATCACGATAAAACTTCTGACGGTTTTCTCCGTTCCGACGAACAGCCAACGAAGAGAAGATGACTGCGTATTGATGACGCCCGCGGAAAATATAGAGGAGTTGCGTTTCAGCAAACAACCATGAATTGATCGTTCAATCTTCAACTACATTGACGCTCCTCGGCAAAAATGGATCCCTTCCTCTTTTCCATCACGACCAATACACGTTGACTTGGATGCCATTGCGAGAACCTGGGTCACACGGACAAAGCTGAAATGAAAAACAGAAAGCAAAGCCAACACACCACAGGCATACTCACAGCATAATCTCACTCATCGACGACGACCTACGACTTCCAGTTAAAGGCATCCTCTTGACATCTTGCAACACAAACTCCACTTGCTAGAATGACTCTTGCAGAAAGCAACGTGACCATAGCAGCACCTCATGATACTCTTCACACGTCCTCTTACCCATTCATTAACAATTACCGCTTTCAATGCAGTTGAAGATTGAACGATCAATTCATGGTTGTTTGCTCAAAACCAACTTCCCCAATTTTCGCGGAGGCATCAATACGACAACCATCGTCTCATCGGTCGCTGTTCAGAAAGAAGTCAGGAGAAAACCATCAGAAGTAATCTCGTGATTTATTATTGTAATATTTGTTCACAGACATTAGTTGTAACATTGTTTATATGTTGGTGTAACAATAAAGAATCCTCGAGTCACCAATTGGTGTTTTGGTTTCGCGTCCGTTATTACTAAGCGTTTCTGCGAAATTTGGGCTACCGATATCCATGCTGAAAATTCCATACTTGTACCAAAAATACAGTGTGGAATCAAGCTGTAAATCAAAAAAAAAAAAAAAGGAACAGCGTGGGCCCGAGCGCAGCAAGAGCTGGGCATTAACGGTTTACGAGACGTGGCTGACAGTTTCTGACAGTACAACGTCAGTTTTTAAACGGTTTTGGACTGTTGGTGAAAGTTTGGATAGTCACCGTTCATCTCTCCTGGTGCCGGTCAAGTCCTCTTTGAACAAGCAATATCTGGAACTTTTTGGAATTGGGTCAAGTTCAACAATGCCTGGGTCAAAGAAGGGACAGAGTGTCTTGGATGCAAACAGGAAAGTAAGTCATGGTGACTTGTCTGTTAATTGTAACGATGTGTCTGATGTTAAGCATGACATGGTTGATGTTACTGTTTCGCCGTTCAGGGATAATAGGAACATCAAACTCCCTAAATTTGAACCACGGTGTTTCGATGGAAACCCGGCTGATTATTTACAATTTGTAAAGGAGTTTGAGATCATGCTGAGTAGTTTTTTATTAAGTGATGAATTGAAATTGATGTATTTGATGAGGTATTGCACTGGAGATGCTTCAAGAGCTATACAGTGCTGTAAGCTCATGCCCCCTAATGAGGGATACGCTGAGGCTATGAGCATATTACGTCAAAGGTTTGGAAGACCTTCAATGATTGTAAGGAACGTATACGAAGCTGTCAAAGGTAACGGCAGTCAACTTCAAGATGACTCCAAGGCACTTACTGAGTTTTTAGATAATCTTATGACTTATAAGAATACCTTGATTTCTATGAATTGCATGAGTGACCTCAACTCGAGTTTTATCCTAGAAGTAATTGCAAGACGCCTACCTACTCGACTGCAAAGGAAGTGGGTAAAAATAAGCTCCGTATGGAGGATGAGGGTATCGAGCCAAGGTTTGATGATATTCTGAGACTGGTGAAGGACAGTGTCAACCAGGCGATGGGCAAATTCGCCAGCATTTTGCATTCTAAGGTAGAACCTAAGGAACCAGTGAATATAAGGAAGGCATTTGTGGTGAAGTCTCAAGACACAACGAGAAAGGATGAGTGTATTGTTTGCCATAACATGCATCAATTGAGTGATTGTAATCGCTTTATCGCTATGTCACCCGTAGAAAGGTTAAAAATGGCAAAGCAGAAGCGGCTGTGTTTCAGTTGTTTAAAGATTGGGCATACAAAGTGGAATTGTAAGGCGACAAATAAAAGAAGTAGTGGTTTAACGGATATGCACCCACTTCTGAGAACAGTGAACGAACCTGGGAATTCGGTTAATTGTAATAGTATCTCTAGACCCCTTGACATCCCACAAGTTTTCTTAGGGGTATTACCAG